TTTTTGAGTTTTAAAAATGCTTTGACTTAGTACAGCCTTAAGTGGCTCCTTTTGCTAGTTCAGTACAATATGAACAAATACATTGTAATCCGTTTGAAACGGAGTAGTAGACCGAATATAAGACAGAGGTCAGGATTAGCGAGGTTATATATGATAACGACATAAAGAAAGTGGGAAAAGGTACAGACGAAAGAAATACTCCAAATCACATATTCATTAGTTTTTGTCCGTGGTAAAGCTAACGGGTTACAAGGATATCCGTTAGTGTCATTTGCCGAACTAGTTTCAATTGAAACTGTTCCAAACCTCTGACGTTTTGTGTGTGTTTTTTATACTGGCCACATAAAGAAACTGTGCACACAGAAAATATAAATATAGGCAGACAGCGCCTTTATACATAAATATAGGTGTGAACATAGGAAGTATTGGAGACAATCAAACGCTCATGCAGGTGCCAGGCGACGTGACGTCATTGATGGTGGCCTATGGACTTGCAATGTGTTACTGCACATGCAGCCTGTGCAGCTGCACAAAACATGTGAAACTCAGAAATTGCTGTCACTGTCGAAAGCTTGATCTTTGGTCATTCAAACGTTCACAAATTCACATGAGAAGTCACATGCACATCATGCCAAGATTAACATCTGCTCAACGTCATGAAGCTATTGGAATGGTTCGAGCAGGCATGAGCCAAGAACAGGTGGCAGCACATTCCCAATGCCATCGTAACACGATATCTGCATTGGTCAGGCGTTATGGAAACAGTAGTGACGTCGCCGACCACCCACGTTCTGGGCGTCCACGAGTAATGGCGCCAAGACAGGACAGATGGATTCGGGTGACTCATCTCAGACACAGGTTCCAGACGGCAGTGACCACGTCCCAAACCATTCCCCAGGCCTTCATTTGGAAAATTTGGTAGCCTCTATGCGTCGTCGATGGTCATACCCGTTATTGACTTAGTGACTTCGACGTGTGACCCCCGGCTCAATTTTGAACTTCTAACGTCATCGTTACGGATATTGTTCATGTTCTTTTGACATGTTGTTGAGGCCCGATACTTCAGCTTATAAAGTGTCTACATCATGTCGTCTTTTCTGTGTTGTATTCTAATTCTGAAGGAATTTTCTGTGTGCACAGTTTCTTTATGTGGCTAGTATATATTGTGACGTTAAATCCGATGTTTGTCATCATTGTCAAAATAATAGTCTAATATGCCAAAATTCTGTCCAACATATTTTGTTTTAGTTGGAACTTGATTGTCTTTGAACAGCAAAGTGATGGTTAGCTTTTGGCGCCAAAGAACTTGTCTCAGTTCCCACTTGTACACTATATGAAGCCATTAGCTGAGGTTACCCCTCGGTAGTATTGACTGTATATTGCATGCACGGTAGCCAAACCATACAACCATAAAAAAAACCACTCAACCAAAAACCCACCCAACTTGCCACTCGACAATTCAACCCAAAAACCAACTAACCACTCGTAACCACACGTTCAACCAACCACTCATGCACCCAACGCACCCAACCAACGACCCAAACAACTAAGCAACTGTCGCTCAACTACTCAAGCAGGCAAACAACCAATCAACGAGATACATATACGGAAAAGGCACCTTTGTGATAGATATTTCATTCAACCCAGCTCATCAAATGCAGAAAACATTTTAGTGTAAGAATTAATGCCTTTTACCTACACCACTTGGTATTTGGCATCTGTCCACTCATACATTCCGGAGATGATCCTACAATTGACGAATAGGTTCATTGTTGTGACACCAGACACTGTTCACATTTGGATCACCTAGTTTATGTTACTGACAAATGACTAAATGATTGGAAAGCTAAGCAATATATTGGTTTCCATCAGGCTTGTCGACATATAATTCACAAAGGAGTTGAAATGTCACGACAGGTCTATATCGCCTATGCTAATGTTATTATCTTGTAGATAGATGTATGGATACAATGCTAATGAAATGCCATTTGAACTTTAAGGATTGCTATAAATTGTGAGGTGAGGTTGACCAGGATATATGTGTAACTATACCACCGGAATCGTTACCAGGGATGAGTGTGGAGGAATATAGTGAACTTCATACAATGTGCTTATGGCTTTACTGGCGATTTTGTGCAATAACCGATAATCTGATAGCATTGTGTTCTAAATCTCTACAAAACATCGTATGTGCTTGATGGTGGTCATTTGATGACAACAGAACACTTCTTGTAAAAACAAAACATCCTTACATGATTTATGCCACTGGACATCATGACGACTGAACAAAATCAACTGGAAAACGCCACTGAAAATATCACGCACTCTTCAACTTCTAGCGTCGATCCATTCTGTATTCGAATATTGGCATCAATATCAACTGGTATTGGAATCTGTGGTTTCATTGGAAATATTCTGGGAAGTTTTGTTCTTCATCGAATGCTGAGAATAAACAAAGGTCTGAGATTGCTGAAATACCTTGCACTTTTAGACATTGTCGTCATTGTACTTGTGTTTTTATCATCAACATTACACGTATTAAGCATTGGATATGACCTAGCGGATACAATACATAAGGTATTGTATCCATTCCCTTACCTGTTAGTAATGCCCTTTTATATGTTTGAGATTTATCTGACTGTTCTAATAGCAATGCAGAGAAGCATGGCTGTGGCTCTACCATTCCGCTTTGAACAGTACATGCGTGACTCGGTCGTCAACAAGATTCTTGGTGCCATCACCATCTTTACTATTGCCTATAATATCCCTCTCTGGCTTATATATTGCCCACGTCCTTACTGGAATGAACGTTTGGACATGATGCTGTTCGAGGATGGAAATTGTGTAATTATTCCATTTGGATCAAGAGCTTACCATACCTACATGGGACCAGTGACATTGGTGTTTAGATGCATCATTCCATTGATCATTCTCATAATGAGCAACATCATTCTGATCATATCAAGGCGAAAAATGAACCAAGGAATCCACAGAGCGAACGATAAAGGAGCTGACCAGTTGACCATGGTCGTTATTTCAATTACAACCTTTTCTGTCATAACCCATGTCACAACTGCAGTTCAACTCATATTAACTGACACAGTGTCAAATGCAGCTTTCACATCATTGACACAAGTTACAGCCCTTTTGATAACGCTCCACTGTTCCATGAACTTCATATTCTATTACTCATTCGGTAAGGAATTCCGTAAAGGTTTGATGTCTCTTCTAAGAAGAAACAAGTGACATTTATCTACCCCTAATAGGCGGAGAGATGCCATATTCATGAAGACGGTTCCATCAGTGTTAGTTTTCATCCTTTAAAGATGTTTATGTGAAAATTTGTCCTATTTCTATAGTTATACTGATATCGGAAGAATGAGGATGTTTGTGGTGTGTGAACAAATTTGTGTTTGGGATGGCGAAGAAAACACGACAAAACGAGTTCGTTCGTCAACCAACAACCTCTCTCTTCATAGCAGACAGTATTTAATGCTAATGATAGGCCATCTGATTTTGAAATATTGCTATAAATTGTGAGATAAGGATGATCAGGAATACGTGTAACTGTACCAGCGGAATCCTTACCAGAGATGAGTTGGATGTGGAGGAATATAATGAACTTTATACAATGTTCTTATGGTTCTTTTACCTCTCTACAAAACACCGTGCTTGATGATCATCAGTGGATGTCAGCAGAACACTTCTGGTGAAACAGTTTAACATTGATGATTTGTGCCATTGAAAATCACGACAATTTAACAAAATAAATCAACTGGAAAACGTCACTAATAATGTCACGAACTCTTCAACCTCTTGCGTTGATCCTTTCAGTATTCGAATATCATTATGACAAGCGTGGTTTGCTGAAGACCAATTCTAACCCGGATCTTCACGGTCACCTAATTTGGAGCCCCGTCTATTAGAATCCAGACGGAAGCCGTTTCGTGTTTTTTCAACCAATATTCAGAAGGTAAACTTTATTCACCTGTCCACCCACTAACCATACTGTAAACTATGTCTTAAGGTACACGCTTATAACGAAACGATTGATGTAACGAACTGGTGTTTTGGCCAGTCACTTGCTGTATATTATGATAGAGATACGTATATCTAAATAGAAGCGACAAAACCCTTTCCACATTCATAAGAAAGAGTCGATTGTACAATTGTGACTGTATCATGAGCAGATATTCGTTTCAGCAGTATCATAGCTGTGTGATGTTGTTTGTAAACAAATCGGGTCTGAACCAGACAATCCAGTGATTGTCACCATGCGATACGATGACATAGCATATGTTTATGAATCACTATGAAATAGTGATGATACCAGGTGTTGGCGAAATGGGGAGCGTATCCTGGTGGCATCCGTCATAGACATATGCTAAGTCTAGCCTTTTGTTCACCTGATATAATTCGGAAACGTATGGTATAAGTCAAAACAGGGAATTGCATTGGACATCATTTTTGTCACTGATGCATCAAATTTGGAAATTTCCTCCACCATAAACTTCTTGAAAGCTTTACTAGGGCCTTGAATGTTGTAACCTTGATCAAACAACCTCTGAGCAAGAGTGGTATGACTCTCTTTGAAATCCTGATCAAAAGAGCACGCTATGGCCACTACTTCAGAAATATCACGAGTACATAGTTTTGATGAACTGATGATTTATCAGATTGGGACGACCAAACCTTAGCAAGGTTACTTCCTTATTGAAAATACTTTTTTATCCCGAAGCAAAATGATTTAAAAAGGTAAGAAAATTAGCACATTTCGTACATTTCTCAGCATATATCACCGGTGGTGTCGCACTAACTGTCGGATGTATACCACACAAGTGTCTTTGCAAACTGTAAGTTTATATAGTGGCCAAGCAATCAGGAAAGACGCAGGGCGAAGGCAGCGATCTATATAAAATTACACGTGGACTTCCATTTTATAGAAGGTTTCTTGCTTTCTTTAGAACACAAGAAGCTCTCGCCTTCTATTTCCTCTGAAGATGCAGCAAGTGACACGTCCTTCACTTGTGGGTACGTCTCACATCTTCACATCGTTCAACACCGACGCAGATGACTCTTTCACTATCGCTGTCATGGGAGCTGCTGCGGTTGGTAAGAGTGTCCTTATCAACAAATTTATCAACGGTACCTCCCCGACATGTTACTGGCCAACTGTGCAAGAACGTTACACCAAACACATGGACATTGATGGCCGACACGTCGTCCTTGACATTTTCGATACTCCAGGAGGGTATTGTTTTTCCTATTTGAGAGAGGTGGCCATCGCCAATGCTGATGCCTTTGTGTTGGTCTATTCTGTTAAAGACGAGGCTTCCTTCGAGACACTGGCCATACTCAGAGATATGATAGTTCAACAGAAGCCGCCTGGTGTTCCTATCATAGTGGTAGGCAACAAAACGGACACTCCAGTCTCATCTCGCTTTATGTCGACGAACAGCGCACAGTCCATAACAACGGTTTGGCAAAACGAGTATAGGGAAATCTCAGACGACTCTAACATTTCTGACATTTTCAGAGATATTGGGAACATGGCCCGCTCTTTCATTTCTAACCAACTACGTTTAAGAGCCCGAGCCAGACGCCACAGTTCTCGCATACACAGATTATGGAAAAATATGTGTACGATTTGTTGAAAATGTATATGTGTTTTAATAATAGAGACACTTTCAATGTCATTTAAAGAGATACAGGCTACCTCGATACTACCTCAAAGGTCATTCTGCAGAACTTTGTTGTTAAGAGATGGATTAAAATGTTTAGACAAGTCTTGATTTCGTTATATTTCATTTTCATGTGTGTATAATGGACACACAAAAAGGAGGCATGATGCTGTCAGATTTTGGGTTATTTTTTTGTGTGTAACGAGTGAAATTTGACTTTACAGCTTGAGGAGCCATTGAAACACACATTGAGGCCACGTGGCATTTACACTGGAAGTTGTTGTTTCTTAAACGTACAGTAATTCACTTGGAGAAATCATAACAGTAATGCCACTCTATATTATTCATTGTAATTATTAAAACACAAATACATTTTCAACAAATCGTAAACATATTTTTCCATAATCTGTGTATGCGAGATTCAAATTTTCATTTTTTTCATTCTTTCTCCGTGATTTCAATCGTAAAATCTATATTCTTTTCCTGTATGACTAATTTGCACACAATTCGCAAACAATTGATCGAATTATATAAATTCAGCAAGGGTTTACCAGGTAGCCAAATTACCAAAAGTCCCCATGGCCCCAAGTACGGTTATCTATCTTCAGCTGCTGGTGAAGATGAAAATTATAGTGTATTGTGCTGAACAATGGCATAAGTTTAAAGTGGCATGCCAGTTTTAAATCGTTATCTGTGATAGCGTAGTTCTTTTACTGTCCTCTATCGACAGATTATATAATATAACTTTGTTTATTATCAAGGCATGACTTAACTTAGTCTTTTAGAAGTTCGGGCAGTAAGTCTGAGATGTGACTTTAAGTGTGAAGTCAACCCACATGCATATTATATCGGTACTTACTAACTTTCTTGGGTTAAGCTTTTCTGTGCTTTATGATAAGAACATCTCCTATAAATACACTTACGTCTGTAACTGATACATGCATTTCTCGAATGAAATAAGATAGCTTTTTTTGTTTCATTTAGAAAAAGAACGGAATATCTGCAAAGTGCAGAATGTTTTGTGGTCCGGCCTATGTAATGAACATATGAATGTGTTTACACCTGGTTTTGCAATATGGGAAGACATCCATACTCAGTTTTCATACTTGCGTTTCACAACTTTGAGGTACACTCGAGCGTGGTCTTTTTATCAGGATTTCAAAGAGCGTCATACCACTCTTGCTCAGAAGTTGTTTGATCAAGGTTACAACATTCAAGGCCTCAGTAAAGCTTTCAAGAAGTTTTATGGTAGACATATGGAGGAAATTTCCAAATCAGTGACAAAAATGATGTCCGATTCAATTCCCTATTATGACTTATACCATACGTTCCCGAATTATTTCAAGTGAACAATTGACAAGACTTAGCATATGTTTATGACGGGTGCCACCGATGGGGCAAGGTACGCTAATTTTTTCGCCAACACCTGGTAACATCACTATTTCAAAGTGATTCATAAACACAACGCTTGTCTCAAATACTTTCTGTGAGTATCGGAAAATCCTTCCTTGATGGTATTCAGGATTAAGACATCCACTGATAGGTTTGAATGTTTTCCGTGTGAGCCTTGTAGACTGTATTCTTGCTAAGTCCAAAGAAGGTGGAAGTGTTGTCACATCCAAAGCGTGGACACAGAGCATTTCACAGAGAACAGGTGATGCGGCACAGAAGATTTCCTAGACAAGTACGAAGCGTCTCATGTCCGTAATCGTTGATAATGTTCCATTTTCAATCCGTAGCTCAGTCACATTGGTCATTGTAGGACATTGTATTGGACAGTAAGAGCAAGAACATCAGTGACAGCTGTCTTCAGTATGATCCAATCTTTGAGTGAGTGAGTGAATGAGTTTAGTTTTACGCCGTTTCTAGCAATATTCCAGCAATACCGTGGGGGGCACTAGAAATGGGCTTCACACATTGTACCCATGTAGGGAATCGTACGCCTTAATCACTAAACAGATCTGGAGACCAAGGCAATGTACATTAAGTTATAAACACCGAGAGGTGCGAATCGCCCCTGGCAACGTGATTGATTAACTGCTAATTGCATATTAACAGTACAAAATAATATATTCAAAATATCGATTCACGATTTGTTTATTTGCTGGTTGTTTAAAGCCGAACTTACAATCCCATCCAGCTATATGGCGACGGTCCGTAAATAGTCGAGTCAGCATCAGACAATCCAGTAATCCAACATCATGAGCGGCCGATCCCGTCAGTCGCATACGTTGCTGAAGACCATGTCTATGGTAAGGGTTGTAAGGGTTGTAAGGGTTGAGAATTGTGTGGTTTGACTCCATTGGTCTTGACATGGGTTTGTTACTGGTAGACGGCCCCTACAGAGACGGTGTATAACTTGATTTTTTTTAATGAAAACGTCGCCACAAATGCCAGATGGTGTCTGTATGAACGTTGTCAACTGTCGTTTTCCCATAGGCGTGGATTGTCGAACATGTTCCAGATCGATGAATAGAGGCGTTTTTCTTACTTCTGAAGACTGCATTGAGTGGAAAAATACGTGTCTGGTTGTCTGACCTTAAAAGTGAACATGGCTGGCCTATTCCTCTCGAATATATGACATGCAAATTTCGAGCAATTTGAACAACTGCTTTGTCGCGCATTTTCGACCTTTTGGGCATTTTCTTTTGTTCAAATCCACGAATTCCTGTTGAATTTTAATGAAAACATTCTTTGTCACAATAGTGAGTATCCGGTCATGCACTCGTAATTCCATCCAACAAATGTTGGTTTGTATGTTTGTTATCCATTCAACAAATGATACCATTCTTATGAACAACATACATAATACTTATAAATAAGAAACATATCGGTGTTTTGGATCTATAGTAATGTGTAAATGTACATTGCGTCCAACACCTTTAATACCGGGACCTCCTCCGTGGTGTAGTGGTAAGAGCGTCCGCCCGGAGAACGGAAGGTCGCGGGTTCGATCCCCGACCGAGTCATACCAAAAGACGTTAAAATGTGGTTCTTGTTGGTCCCTGCCTGGCGCTCGGCATTAATGGGTACATCAAGGACTGGTCGGCTCGGAGTCAGTATAAGGTGTCTGTGGGGGATATTCATGCTTCACTGCGGAATCTCAGTGGGCTAGCACTATTAATCCAGCTTTAGTCTGGGCTAGTACAAGCAGCCGTACATACACATACACACGCATGCACGTCGTCATATGAGCGAAATATTCTCAAGCACGACGTTAAACCCAATTTCACCTCACCTCACACCTTTAACGCCGGAGAAGTTATGATTTTGAATTTCTGTGAACTTTTCGTGTGGAGTCGTGTTCCGTGGTCACTTTTTGGCGCCCGGTTATGTTTATGGAGCTTACCGCCCATCGACATGGTGACTGCATCGTGACCGCAGTGTTTACCATCGTCATCCTCGTAAATCATAATTGTCATATGCAAAAAATATTATCTGTCAGGTTACAGCCTTGCGGACAAACAGGAATTATGTATTTTCCAATTTGTGTTGTACCACACGGTGATATTAGACATTACAAAAAGCGGCGATAAATCACTGAAACAAATCCAACAGAAACATTAGTCACCCATCATATTTTAAAATATGAATATTGGTCACACGATCCTGAATCATCAGAACCAATATCACTAAAAGGGTAATGTTCAAACGGTAGCTATTCTGGGGCTCTCTCCTGCATTGTTATGTATTTCGCACGTTTATTTTCATACCACTGACGCTCACAGTATTGAGGGATAAGTACACATGCTGTCATTAACACTTCGTTCCAGAGTTTTGAATAACCTGATTCAGACGCTTGACACATTGCTTCACTTTAACTTGATTGAAGTGATAACCCATGTATTTCTTTTCCATCAGGACTGTCGACATGTAATTCACAAAGGAGTTGAAACGTCTATGCTAATGTTATTAACCAAATGGAAGTACATTGCCATATTTATAAATGAATAACATATTTATAACAAAAATATTGTGAGATGAGGATGAGGATGACTATGAGTAACTATATCACGAGCATCGCTGCCATATTGTTGTGGATGTTGAGGAGTTCAGTGTAGTGTCTGCGTTGTGGATATTGTGATTCTTGTTATCGTGTATAGTGACCAAGAACCTGCTGGTGTTGCTTAAGGGAAGCCACATTGCATAAACAAGCGAGAGCAGGATCATTTTCACAAACTGACAAACGTCTTTTCTTCGAAAAAAGAAAACGTTGATGTTTTCTGTCCAGTGACCTGCTAGTGTTATTTTTTCGAGGTCACGGTGCATAAAAACCTGTGCGCAGGATCATGGTCATAAACTGACAGAAGGACACGTCTTTTTGTCTTCGAAAAACAAACGTTGATGTTTTATGACCAGTTACCTGCTGGTGTTGCTTTAGAGGTCACGGTGCATAAAACCCGTGCGCAGGATCATGGTCATAAACTGACAGAAGAACACGTCTTTTATTCGGATCAACACCCGTTGATGTTATTTGACTAATAACCTGCGAGTGTTGTTTTAGGAGGCCACGTTCCACAAACAATCGAGAGCAGGATCATGGTCGTGAACTAACAGAAGAACACGTCTCGTAATCAAACCACCGCCCGTTGATGTCATTTGTAACTGAACTGCATCATGGCCAACCAAACACAAGAGGAAAACGTCACCAATAATGAAACACAAACCTCCACCTCCATCATAGATCCTTTCTCCATTCAAATATTGGCTTCAGTATCAACTGGAATTGCAATCTGCGGTTTCATTGGAAACATTCTGGGAAGTTTTGTTCTTCATCGAATGCAGAGAATAAACAAAGGTCTGAGATTGCTGAAATACCTTGCACTTTTAGACATCGTCGTCATTGTCTTTGTTTTTTCGCAGCAACACTGCCGCAGATGAGCATCGGGTTTGACATGATGGACACAATACACTGGGTACTGGATCCATTTCCTTACCTGTTAGGAATGACGTTTTATATGTTTGAGATTTACCTGACTGTCCTAATAGCTATCCAGAGAAGTATAGCTTTGGCTCTACCATTCCAGTTTGAACAGTACATGCGTGACTCGGTCGTCAACAAGATTCTTGGTGCCATCACCATCTTTACTATTGCCTATAACATCCCTCTCTGGCTTATATATTGCCCTAGACCTTATTGGAATGAACGTTTGGACATGATGCTGTTCGAGGTTGGAAAATGCGAAATTATTCCATTTGGTACAAGAGCTTACCATACTTACATGGGACCAGTGACATTGGTGTTTAGATGCATCATTCCATTGATCATTCTCATAATGAGCAACATCATTCTGATCATATCAAGGCGAAGAATGGGCCAAGGAATCCACAGAGCGGGCGATAGAGGAGCTGACCAGTTGACCATGGTCGTTATTTCAATTACAACCTTCTCTGTCATAACCCACGTCACAACTGCAGTTCACCTCGTATTAACTGATAGAGTGTCAAATGCAGCTTTCACATACTTGACACATGCTACAGCCCTTTTGATAACGCTCAACTGTTCCATGAACTTTATATTCTATTACTCATTCGGAAAAGAATTCCGCAAAGGTTTGATGTCTCTTTGTAGGTCAAATGACTAATTTTTCACACGTTCGTGGCAGTAAAAGGATACTGTGGTCTTGTGGACGATTCCGTGAACAGTTTGTTGTAATCATGTGGATGGAATTTTGGTTTTTGTTTCAAATGTCCTATCGTTACACAAACTTGATTAAGTTGAAGACACTAATTAATAACCTTTTCCACAATGGGATCAAATGGACATAAACAACAAACGTCAGCAATTTAGTATCTGGGATAGAAAATACAAGACACAAGATTGTAAATCAACAACAACCATTCTGTCCATACCGGACAATTTAAGATCGGTTTGAACAGTAGTCGTGATAAGTAACATTTTAGAATGGGTTGCACCCTTTGTTGTCACGATCCATCCAGTTCAAAGGACAGTACCCTATTGACAGAGACCTGGATTAGTCATTTTTTTGTTTCCATTGCTCACAAGGAGCTAGAAGCGGTGGGTAGCTTAGTGGTTAAGGCGTTCGCTCGTCACGCCGAAGACCCGGGTTCGATTGCCCACATGGGTAGAATGTGTGAAGCCCATTTCTGGTGTTCCCCGCCGTGATATTGCTAAAATATTGCTAAAAGCGGCGTAAAACTAAACTCACTCACAAGGAACAAGGGACTGAGCTGGCATTTCGCTTTAAACTACACATTTATGTCTCGTGGAATTGTGCGTTCATGTTAATGCTACATCGACATGTACCTGTGTCTCCCGTTCCCAGGTGTGTTAGCGGTGCTTACAATTATCATATGACAAAATTTAACCTGCATTTGCTTTACCTGTATTTGCATAAATTCGTTTACTCTGAAAGCTTATTACTACATATTATTGGTGAATGTTTTGGGCACCAAATGCTTACCTGTGTTCATATTTACTCAACCGACCACAATTGTTTTCTCAATGATTCCGTTGTTGAAACAAATTATAAATACTATATGTGTTATACATATTACCGATGTTTACGTTACTGTGACAATTTGATGCTCAATTTGCTGTTTAGTATTCACTGTGGTCATCAGGGGTTGAAGGTACAGCTTAATTATGACGGGTCGCCGGTCATTGTCACCATGCGATACGATGACAGAGCATGTGTTTATGAATCACTATGAAATAGTGATGATACCAGGTTTTCGCGAAAAGGTAAGCATCCTAATCTAGACATTTGTTTACCTGAAATAATTCGGGAACGTATAATATGAGTCAAAACAGGGAATTGCATCGGACATCATTTTTGTCACTGATGCATCAAATTCGGAAATTTGCTCCACATGTCTACCATAAAAATTTTGAAAACTTTACTGAGGCCTTGAATGTTGTAACCTTGATCAAACAACTTCCGAGCAAGAGCGGCTTGACGCTCTTTGAAATCCTGATAAAATCCAGCTAGGGTCCATGCAGGTAGCAAACGTACTGTAAGTCCCCATAGTCCCAAGGATGACGATCAAACTTCAGTTGCTGGTGATCGATAGCCCGTTTGTGTGTTGTAATGTCCTAAATAGTATATAATGTTAAGCTACATGCCTGTGATACACTAGTTGTTTTACTGTAAATAGGCGAAAGATTTTATAATATAACATTATAATATTTAAGAATGCACTTTTTTAGTCACGATATGGCTGAAATTTTGCGAAAGTGACGATACATTTTAATTCACTCATTCCACCTTATATTATATAAACATTCATTTATGGTAAGTACAGTAGAAGCCCTCTAAACCGGCATTAGGATGGACCTAGCAAAAATGCCAGTATAGAGGGTATGCCGGTTTAGAGAACTTTTCTTTTTTCAACCTGAGAATGATCTTCCGTGTGCCCTAAAATACGAGTTAACAACGTGTTGATAGTCATCATATTCTTTATTCATCAACATACTTACTTTCAAATTTTGTTTAATGTTATTTTGGATAAAGGTGTGTTTCCAAGTAACTGGAGTATTGGTATGATTATTCCCCTACATAAGAAAGGTTGAGCAGATGACCCAAATAACTACAGGGGAATATCTTTACTAAGTGTAATGGGAAAAATATTTACATCTATTTTGGAAGCAATGCTGAGGTTTTGGCACGGAGTGAACCAGGTAATGTGTGAGGCACAGTCGGGTTTTAGAGAAAAACATTCAACCTTTGATAATATATTTGTGTTACAATCTCTGTGTCAGAACTATTTAAGAAAACCGAAACACCGGTTTTATGCAGCCTTCATAGATATTTGTAAGGCCTTTGACCTCGTAGACCGACATAAATGATTATATATATATTGCACACACGGGGTGTGCATGGTAAATTCTTTGATATATTAAAATGCATGTATGGCCAGGTGAAAGCCTGCGTTAGATCAGGGAACTGGAGATCAACCATGTTTGACACACCTTCCTGTGTACGACAAGGATGCATGCTTAGTCCTGCACTGTTTATCTTTTTCATAAATGAACTCTCTAACGAACTCAAACAGTTAGGATTACAAGGTATATTTGTAACAGAAAGTATTGAAGAAATAATCATGTTAATGTTCGCTGATGACATGTCATTGATTGACTTAAGTGCCGTTTGTTTACAGAGAAAATTTGATACCCTTGATAGTTATTGTAGAAAATGGGGACTTTAGGTGAATTTAGTCAAAGTCAAATATTATTGAGTGAGTGAGTTTAGTTTTACGCCGCACTCAGCAATATTCCAGCTATATGGCGGCGGTCTGTAAATAATCGAGTCTGGACCAGACAATCCAGTGATCAACAGCATGAACATCGATGTGCACAATTGGGAACCGATAACATGTGTCAACCAAGTCAGCGAGCCTGACCACCCGATCCCGTTAGTCGCCTCTTAGGACAAGCATGGGTAACTGAAGGCACATTCTAACCCGGACTTTCACGGATTCAAATATTATTGTGTTCAGAAATGGTGGCTACTAAAGATCAATCGGAAAATGGTATTATAGGGGATCTGTAATGCAGATAGTAACTTATTATAAATATCTTGGAATTATATTCTCATCAAGACTATGTTGGTCTAAAGCCTGTGAAACATTATCTCTGCAAGCTAGCAAGTCCTTTTCCCAATACAGCAACTTTGAGAAAATACCCAGCTATTCAGTTTAATAGTGTAACAAAGATTTTTGAGAAAAATATTGTTCCAAATTTTGTTGTATGGGTCCGAAATTGGGGGCTTTATGCCAGGGGAGGTAATAGAGAAAGTACAGGGAAATGTCTTTAAGAGATATATAGGTGTCAGTAGAACAGTCTCAAGAAATGCCATCCTCGGTGAGAGAGGCAGACACCCACTATGTGTCAGGTATTTTACTCGCTGTATCAAGTACTGGTGTCGATTGATATGTTTGGAATCTAGTAGATACCCAAGGTCATGCTATGAAATGCTTAAGGTCTATGATGATAGTGGAAAAATAGATTGGGTGTCAAGGGTTTATTGCTATTTTACACTGGTTTTTCATATGTCTTTATCTCCCAGGACTGTGGGCATGTTGACAAATATTCATCAAGCAGTTTCAACAACGTTGTAAAGATTGTAAGATTAACAATTCACTCAGTGCATATTCCGAGTTAAATTCATTGTTAACTCTAGAAATGTACATATCTTCACTTGCTTGCCAAAAAATTGAGAAGAATGTTATGTAAGTTTTGTTGTCTTTCACATAAGTTAAATATTCAGCAGTATCGGTTCAATAAGAATGTTGAAAGAAACGCATTAGTCTGCTCCAAGTGTCAGTTACAGAAAATTGAAGATGAGTATCATTTTCTGCGTATTTGTCTTTATTATTATTGTTGTCGTTATTACCATGTAGACCCATCAGTTGTCAAGTATTATCAATTGTTATCATCAACTAATGAGGAGCATATACTATCCTCAAGTATTTATCTCAAAAGAAATCTGCCAATATGAACAATAGCTTTTCAACAGTACTATAACTTGATCTTATCTTGTACCGCTGTGCACAATAATTCTCTACCCTAAATGTATTTTAGGCCAT